CGGTACTTAAGCAGAATTAAGGAATTAAGTTTGGCTCCCAGCTGTCCATTTGCTCCAATCAATATGAAAAAGATTAACCTCACTTCCAGGTCAATGCTTTATGCATTCCTGATTTGACTCCAAAGACATACCAGATTTAATTCTAATTATGTCATATTTTTCTATTTGTAAACATTTCAGAAAACCGACCTGTTACATCTCAATTAACCACCTCTCTTGCTATGCTGCTTATTACTATTATTATTTATTTTTACAACAAATAGGGTAACCTTCATCAAATGTCTATCCTTCACACACTTCCCAGAAAGGCAAATCTCTCACAAAAGATGTCCCTAAGATGCTTTTCTAAAAGGCAACTGGACTTTCTTGTTGTTGTTTTTTTTGAAAAAAAAAATGCTGACTCTGGCAACACATACTAAAATTGGAACACAGAAAAGATTAGCATGGCCCCTGCGCAAGGATTACATGCAAATTCACGAAGCGTTCCGTATCGTTTTCAAAGGAAAAAAACCCCAAGGAAGTCTGGTTGTCTTTTGGAAAAAGCACCTTTGGGACAGCCATAATCCGAATGATTGAGAATCTCCATAGACTCTCACAAAAGATACGCTCACTTCCCTTTCAATTCAAATACATAGGAGAGAAAACAACTACAATGTTCCTCTTTTTTGCACTACTGATATTCAACAGCAAGTCACCAAATGATAACATTGGGGCAGAAGGAAGGAAAGGCATTAAAACCGAAGTAGGCTTGGTGCACTTATAAAGTTTGGTGGGGTTTTTTTTGTTTTTTTAATTTGATTTATATGCCGCCCTTCTCCGGAGACTCAGGGCGGCTTACAATGCGCTAAGCGATAGCCTTCATTCTTTTGTATATTTATACAAAGTCAGCTTATTGCCCCCACAACTGGGTCCTCATTTTACCTACCTTAGAAAGGATGGAAGGCTGAGTCAACCTTGAGCCTTGGCGAGATTCGAACCTGCAGTAATTGCAGGCAGCTGGTCTTAATAACCAGCTTAATAACAGGGTGCCTTAGATCACTGTACTACCAAGGTTTGATTTGCTGATTACACCGAGGGGGGAAGTTCCAATGAGATACAGTGGTATCTAAAATTAGCTGATTGGATCCTTTGGTAGTGAAAATAATTTTAATAAATGGTTGTAATCTTGTTTTCAAAAAGCTTTACACTAAAAACATTTCCAGCCTATAATTTTGCAGGCCCTTTATACAAATAAAATAAGAGCAATTACACACAACTGAAGAATTTAGTGCTACCAACACGGCATTTTAACCTGTTCTATCTATGCATCAAGGAAATGACACACATTCCCAATGATAACAGAATTGGCTAAAGATTTGTCCTGATCTCTTCTACGATAGCACTCACCTCGGCTTTTACGAGAGCTTTCCGAGAGACCTTCAGTTTCCTTTCCATTTCCTTCATCTTTCCCAATCATGTCCAGCTCATGACAGAGGTGGCTAAGGAATAGAACAAAAACATTGGAAATCCCACAGAATTTGGCCAACCTATATTGATCACGATCATTTCACTCTGGGCTCGGCTCCAGTAAATTGACAGTTTATGCAGTGGAACTGATCGATCCACTCAATTTGTGTTTGAAGAGACCGATTGGGTACACCTATCACATTAAGTGATATTATGCATTTTCTTTTGCTTGAGCCACTGAGTGAACGTAGGCACTATAATGTTTAATCCAGGGGTGCTATTCAGCAGGTTCTGACAGGTTCTGGAGAACCAGTAGTGGAAATTTTGAGTAGTTTGGAGTACCGGTAAATACCACTCTGGCTGGCCCCAGAGTGGGGTGGGAATTTGCAATATCCTTCCCCCAGGAGTGGGGTGGGAATGGGGATTTTGCAGTATCCTTCCCCTGGAGTGGGGTGGGAATGGAGATTTTACAGTATCCTTCCCCTGCCACGCCCACCAAGCCACGCCCACAGAATGGTAGTAAAATGTTTTGAATTCCACCACTGGTTTAATCCTACCAATTGTTGATTATGCAACAAAATAATGGATAAATAGCTTAATGTGTTGGGTGAACCTAGGCACCATCTCATTCCTACACTTTCAAGATGCATGTTTGTCATAAATCCCAACAAGATGATCCATACCCTATAGTGGGGACAGAAAATGGATCGAAGTCATCCAATTTCTTCAGGTCAATTGGAACTGAAATGCGTCCTGAAAGAGATCAAAAGCAGCATTACAACAGCTTCCTTTAAAGCAGAGTTCCCCAACCTTTCTGGCTTTGCAGACCGGCCCGGGGGGGGGGGGGGGGGGGGGAGGGGGGGGGACAGTTCCCTCTGTGCGTGTGAGTAAGCCTGCACACGCACAGCTCCATTTGTGTGAGGGGTGGGCACGCATGCATGCCGCTCGCGCAAATGGAGTGTGCACATGCGCTTCCTTGCTGCTCACACAAGTGGAGTTATGCACCCATGTGTGAGTGCTTGCCCGCCACTTCCGCAGCCCGGTTCTGAAGGGTTCAAGGCCCAGTAGTGGGCTGCGGCCTGGATTTTGGGGACCCCTAGTTTAAAGACCACTAGCGGGAAGAGAAAAAGCGTGCAGCAAGGGACTACATTTCCGAACAGCTCCATGAACTGGCTAAATGTCCACATAGGAACTTTTCCAGACCTTGGAAAGGTCCGTCTCAATTTACAACAGTTCATTAGTGACTGTTTAAAGTTACATCATCACTGAAAAAGCGACTTATGACTATTTTTCACACATAACAACCATTGTAGCAGCCCCATGGTGATCAAAATTCAGACCCTTGGCAATTGACTCATATTTATGACAGTTGCAGTGTCCCTGGGTCATGTGATCTTCTTTTGCGACCGCCTGACAAGCAACGTCAACGGGGAATCCAGATTCACTTAACAACCATCTTACTAACTTAACAACTGCAGTGATTCGCTTAACAACATTGGCAAAAAAGGTCGTTAAGGTGGGGCAAACTCACTTAACAAATGTCTCATGTAGCAACATAAATTTGGGGGTCAATTGTGGTCATAAGTCGAGGACTACCGGTACTGTCCTATATTCAAAGCACACGCTGGGAAACTCAAAACAACAACTTCACGATTTAGTCTCTTAATACAGAAGAGTAAAACAAAACAAAACAAAAAAACGTTTATCTGTTTTTTGGCTCTTGGATCCTGTTTGTTCTTCCTAAGATGACATAGTAATATAGGACTTATTTAATGCCTAACAGGATTCTCAATCTAAAATATTGCTTTAGATTCATTAAAACTCACAAACTCCAGAGACAACATGCCCATTTCTATAGCTACAATTTTATCTTAGCATTAAATGCAGTACCCATTTGTTTTTCACAAAACGACACCTTTAGGCATCAAACATTTTGTATTTTAGCATTATTTCTTCCCACTGCTCATAACTGAAAACACTAACAGGGAAATGTACATTTCAGAAGCAGCAGAAGGAACCACAGATACGATAGACAAAACAGTATGATGCTACTAATGATGCTTACCGGTAAATCCTCCCTGTTCTCTATGCTCAATTTTGCATACATAGCATTACCTTATTTTATCTTCCAAAAAGCCTGAAAGTAAACCAGGCTGAGAGATAGCAAGTGGCTGAATATCAAATAGTGATCTCCACGGTTGAAATGAATTCCCTGTGTTTCCACCTCCAGCTTCAGCATTCCTTGCCATTTTAGGCCCTCGTCGGATTTCCATCAAAAAGAAATATGCGGGAGCATTGTTCAGCAACTGACCTGTTTTGGGGTGAACGCTGAAAGGGCTCTTCAGCAAATGATTGATGCCTTTGCTAACGTTCATATCCAGGCGGGGAAAACAGTACTGTAGCATAATCTCCATTTCAGAGTGTACCATTTTCTTCAGAATGAGAAAGAGAAAAGGATTAATGCAAACTGGCCTAACTCAAGACAATGCCCAGGTCTAGCTCACTCAGTATAGGTAGTCCTCGACTTACAACAGTTCATTCAGTGACTGTTCGAAGTTACAATGGCACTGAAAAAGTGACTTTATGACGATTTTTCACTTACGACCGTTGCAGCATCCCCATGATCAGGTGACCAAATTCAGATGCTTGGCAACTGGCTCGTACTTATGACGGTTGCAGTGTCCCAAGGTCATGTGATCATCTTTTGCGACCTTCTGACAAGCAAAGTCAATGGGGAAACCAGATTCACTTAACAACCGTGTTACTAATTTACGTAACAAATGTGGCAAAAAAATAAATAAATCGTAAAATGGGGCAAATAATTAAAATTCTCACTTAGCAACATAAATTCTGGGCTCAATTGTGGTCATAAATCGAGGACTACCTGTATTGCCTGGGCAAATCAGCTTCTTGCCTTTCTAAGATTTTAAATCCGAGACTTTCTCTTTCTTGTTTGGAGAGCTTGGAGGTTGAACTTTGGGTGTTTTAGTACACCCAAAGCACTTCTTGTACTAAGATACATCATCATCATAATTTTATATATTTCCACATTATCATCAACTGAATTTATATGCCGCCTGACTTCTTATAACTCTTCTCCAATCACTGTTTGGGCTTTTTTTTTGTAATTCAACAGCCAAAAAGCTTTAAGAATAGTTGTAGCTCCCTCTTTAGACGCTCAATTTTCAATAAGCTATAAATAAACCTTTTACGGTGGAAGAAAGTGCAGCAGGGAGAATCAGCCTACTAAAAATAGAAAGTGCTGTTGCATTCTGGATATGTCAACTTTCTGTCTTGATGACTCTCGTTTTATCTTTGCTTATTGATTTTTGCAGGCCCACAAGTGTCCCTTGTGCTCTCAAAATCCAGGGCAACTTCAGAAGGCAGAAGCACCAAGGTTTAATCACAAAGCATCCTCCAGTCTTGAGTTATTGACCTTTTCAGCACTACAACTTAAAATAAGAATCTCACTCACCTATTAGCAAAGTTCTACCCCAGTGTTAATTTTGCATATACGTACTATTTATTTTACCTTTTTTTCCAGAACTTCCCAGCGCTGCTCTGAATTATGCTTTTTACGGAATTCGGAACGAAGACACTCTTGCTCTGGTGGCAGAATGGCTAAGGACTTTCCAGGTTAGGCTCTGAAGCAAAATAGCCAACTTTTTGTACTTTCTCTGAGGGGGATAGCTTTGCCTTCTTTCAAAAAGACTTGCATGTCAGTCTTTTGCTCCTGGTATACAGTAGGTCAGATGGGCCCACTTCCAAACAAAATCAGTTCTCTCTAAATTCGGTGTTTCTCAACCTTGGCAATTTTAAGATGCAGGGATGATTTCAACTCCCAGAATTGTCAGGGTTGAGAAACTCTGCTCTAATGGGACTTACTTGCAATTAAGTCTGCTTAGAACTGACACTTTAACTTATATACAAACCTTATTATGTGTGCTACTGAAGAAGATGGGAAAAACAGACTTTTTCCCCCTGTGCATGTGAAAATATATCCCATTTTGGAGCAGTCCTCTGGAAAAGCTCTCTTCAGGAAGAAAATTAGACCAGCACGGAAAGCACAGGCCTGATTATTCTTGATCTTTTCTAGCTAAACATCCTGTTCTACTGCCACAAATAATTTGGGGAAAGGTTATCTCAGGAGTTGATTCCTTTTAGGATATCCATTGGGAACCATTATTCCTTCTGTTGTTGCCGGAATACAATTGCTATGGGAGTTGTAGTTGAGCATCAGGAATTTAATAGATTTCCCCCCACTATTGCAAATAAGCCATTTATCCTGTTTTCAAACACTAATGGTTTCTTACTATACTTCCTCCCTCCATCTTAATCTTCTCTGCTGTCTCTCAGAAATAATGTCCCACAACCAAAGACCAAGTATAACCACACACTGTCTATTAGAAGGAAAAAGAAGGCAGAGGCGAAGAAATTGTCTAAGGAAGATGTTGTCCAAGAAGCTTACTTGCTTCTGCCTGAAAGATGCCTTGGCCAATTAATGGATTCTGTATTGATGAGGGTTTTTTTTTTGAGAGTGGGAGTTTATTACATTCCCATTAGAAATAATTTTACTTCCTGGCTACTGCAACAATCCAGATGCTAGTCTGTAGATATCTGGATTATGTTTTATACATTTTCTTGACCATTTATCGGTAGTCTGGCCAAATAGTCGTACAAAAATACGCTCTTTGCCTATTTTTGTATAACCTCGACTCCATCTTTGACAATCCAAAAAGGATATTCTCTGGAACCAAAGCTAACAGCTTTTCCCATTTTTCTTTATTTCCAAGTATGTCCTGACCAATGAGAGCATATTCTTTGAAGTAACGTTTCACTATATCCAATGATGCTCTGAAAAAGAAGAGAGGAAAGCATCAGAGAGACAAATGGTTCCTGAATGTTTTAGGATTTTGTAAGAGAGAGAATGTCAGGCAGATGCAACTTTCTCATGCAGAGAAAAATAAAACAAGTTCTGCTGAAGTCATTTCATCAGCATTTAATTTGCTCCTGCTTGAAACTGGAGGATTTAGTTTATAGCAGTGTGCAAAATAGCAAGTCCTAATTCTACATCGACACCACTTTTAAGTATAAGGACAAAAAGGCATGGGAAGAGCAACACTTTATTCTGCAGATTTTTGCCAATATGCTAAGTACTTCTTTCAGGACCTGTGCGCATAAGCAGTAAAGTAATGTAAAAAGTGCCAAACAGTATTATATATCATCTGAGAATCCAAAATATACATTTAAAGGTTTTTAAGTCTAAGCTAGTTTCTTCATGTCAGCATGGGGCGAATTAGCGAAAAGATTTTAACCAGCACTTTAGTATCACTGCCTGGAGACCTTTATCCACCTGCTCATTCAAACCAGAGCTGTCATCAGGATAGTATTAAGTATAAGTAAGTCACCCTTGGCAATTGCCAACAAGCTTACCTGTGGTTAAAAGCTTCAGATTCTATACTAAGTTTTGTCAATGCTTCTTTTAGAAAGCGGTAGCTGAGTTGGAAACAGACCGCAGCAGTAGGTGGTCTCCTCTTTAGCCACATCAAGAATTGCATCTATCCTGATTCATACCGCCACAAGGCAGAGTGCTCTATTTATCTAGATGTATTTATTTGATCTGATGCAACTCGAGTCCAAATAATGCTAAGCTCTTGCTTAGACCACACTTCCTTAAACCCTACGATTCTCAGTTCAGTTCAAAAACTGTTTCAGCTTGGAGTGTGGCATCCACGGCCTCTCACTATCGTTGAACAGTAACCATTGCCCAAAACAAGGGAAATTGCAATTCAGCAATTTTTGGAAGGCTCCCTACTCAAATTGCTAAGATAGATTTTAACTGGAAACCAGAAGGCACCAAGTTCCACTTCATGGCACCTGCACACATTATTGAAAACCCAAAAGTTACATTAACTGACCTGATAAAAGGATGAATGTGTTTATCTGAGAGAGTTACTTTCTTGATGGTTCCTTCACCTCCCTAGAAATGTTCAAGGAAAAACAAGGTTAGAGTCTGTTTATGTCTGCTTTCCTCCCCTTTGGACATGAAAATCTCAGTGGTACTTCTGGCTACACAGTCACAGAATTGGGACATAGTGCTGAATTTTCTGCCTCACTTGTCTCTTTTCCCAACATTTCAGTTGCCCCTCATGGCACCATTTAGTTCATCAATATTAAAAAAAAAAAAAACCTGAAGGAAAAGTTAAAGGTAAATTTCAGCTAGTGAGCAACACAGTTCTAGGCTGCATAAACAGAGGGATAGAATCAAGATCACGTGAAGGGTTAATACCACTTTATAATGCCTTGGTAAGGCCACACTTGGAATAGTGCATTCAGTTTTGGTCACCACGATGTAAAAAAGATGTTAAGACTCTAGAAAGAGTGCAGAGAAGAGCAACAAAGATAATTAGGGGACTGGAGTCTAAAACATATAAAGAATTGTTGCTAGAACTGGGTATGTCTAGTCTGATGAAAAGAAGGACTGGGGTAACATGATAGCAGTGTTCAAATATCTCAGGGGCCACCACAAAGGAGGAGTCAAGCTATTCTCCAAAGCACCTGAGGGTAGGACAAGAAGCAATGGGTGGAAACTAATCAAGGAGAGAAGCAACTTAGAACTGAGGAGAAATTTCCTGACAGTGAGAACAATTAATCCGTGGAACAACTTGCCTCCAGAAGTTGTAAATGCTCCAACACAGGAATTTTTTAGAAGAGATTGGATAACCATTGTCTGAAGTGGTGTAGGGTTTCCTGCCTAAGCAGGGGGTTGGATTAGAAGACCTCCAAGGTCCCTTCCAAATCTTGTTATTCTATTTCTATTTCTAAAAATACTGGAGCCTCATCTTTCTGGGCATCTAGGCAATCTGATAAAGCATACAATTGGTTTTAATTTAAAGAGTTCCCGCTAAGAGCTAAGCTAACAGCATTTTGCGCTGTGAAGTCTAAACAACATATGCAGGGAGTGGGAGAGAACAGAAGAGAATTATGTTGATTTCCAAACATGGAGAACACACTGAACTTATTCATACATTGTGCTAAGCCCTGATTTGTTGAATAAACTGGGTGTGTGGGTCTCTGTGTATGTGTCACACACTACTGTATAAAACTATACTAGTGGTTTTCGAACTAGTTGGGTAAATTAATATTGTGCTAAAACGAAGCTAACTAAATCATATTGACCTAGCTTATTACATAGTTTATGTCTCATAAAAGGACAAAGGACAGGCTCATGTAATAGTTGTGTAGGCAAGCATTTGACCTGCAAAACTGTGCTCATATTGGCAGCTATTTCATAATTGCATTGCTCCTCCTTCAGGTTCTCACATTTATTGACTTTTTATTGTTTTGGCCAGGATTTCCAAAGAACACTTAAGTCCCTCTTTACCGATTCTCTACTTTTCCCATTAAACAATTAAAGAGGCAGAAAACCTTTCCTTAAATGATTTCCATTCCGAGTAGCTGTGGTAAAAATAGAAACAATGCAGGCCTGTATTACAGCAGATAATTATACTGTGAATTTTATTATACTAAGAATTTATTTCTCTTGTTTTCTTGGTTCCCCCACTCCCATTTTCTCATTTTGTGTGCTCTCTGTTAGGATATGGTTTGAGCCTAACAAGTTGTCCAGGCAATATATGTGTTCTGTGACTTTAACATGAATATGTATTGTGTGACTTTAAAGATTTACTGCTGATTCATTGTAATGCTGAGTCATGCTGTAATTAGATAATCACTGGTTGTAAACGTATTTAAGAAAGGTACTGTAAAGTATTCAGTTGACGATAAGCTACCATAGTGTGTGGAGTTGCTACCATTGTGCTATCATCGTTGGATGGATCTGCTACCATCGTGGTTTGTAAACCAGAGTGAGTTTGTTATTCTAACCAATTACTGTTTGTGTGGTAAGAAGATTTTTGTATCACTGGACTGATTTAACTGGCAAAGACTTGGATTATTTAAAGACTATGAGATTGTTTTTTCACTATAAAGTAAACTTTTGATAAACCAGTTTGCACATCTCTTATTCATTACTCTCAGCAACGTTTCTCTGTGCTCTACATTCTGCTGGTTGGTAACACAACAACAATATCCTTAACACTCTCTTTTCAGTTTGAAAAAAGGATGGGAAGGGCAGATTTTTATGGATCCATAAACCATTCTAGGAATCTTTGTGGTTGAAGAATGGATTAAATATAATGTACGCAAATCAATAGCACCTCCATTTACTGTCTTTACTCTTTCCAGATGCAGGCTCTGATATAACAGCCTATTGCCAAGACTGTACTCATGCGTGATTAATCAAGGTTGACTCCGCCTTCCATCCTTCCGAGGTGGGTAAAATGAGGACCCAGATTGTTGGGGGAAATAGGCTGACTCCGTAAACCACTTAGAGAGGGCTGTAGAGCACTGTGAAGCGGTATATAAGTCTAAGTGCTATTGCTATTCCCTCACCCTTTTGATGTGAGGGTCTACTTATTTCTTCCGGTAAATGACAGATAGGTAACTTGAGTCCACAGGATAATACCCAAGCTGCTGTTCTGTAACTCCCAGCATCCACACTGACAAAAATTGGTGCCAATTGGAAATCAAAACTACAGCTATTAAAATCTGCCACTTCAGACCTGGGAAACTGATTTTTTTTGAGTTGCATCAGCTGCGTGGTTATTTTGGAGAATTCTCTCCTGGCCCTGCCCACTGCAAATCTCATTACAAAGTTCCTCTCTCGTTACAGGAACACACCTTGACTAGGGAGAGATATTCCACTGCGGCAGAGCGGAGAGTTGAAGACCACTTCCTGACAGCATCGTCACACACCCAGCAATGGACCCCTCTGCGTCCTGAATATACCCACAGTCTATGCTGAATGCCAAAGTCCTCTGCAGGGACAGAAGAAAAGCCAAAATAAATAAATAAATGAATGAATAAAAAATACACTATTTACATTACCAAACAAAACTTAAGAGCTATAAAAATTTACAATTATTCTGTTCAATACAAATCTGTGACACAAACTATGGCAATCTGTAAACAATGACTTCTTATAGAATGTGTTGAATGAACCCAACTATGGCTTATTTATAGTTAAAGCCATGGCTGAAGACAGCCGATCAAAGAAAATAGCAGCTTGCTTAACAGCTACAGCAAAAAAAAAGCTGCACCGCTGAGTCAAAACAATGCAAATAAGAACAATAAACAGGAATGCTAGGAGCCAGTTTGCCATTTATTTATAGCTTACTTGATACTGTACATTTCTGCGTTTTACTGTATAGTTTAGTCTTCTATTCCAATTTTTTTGAGTTTGATTATAAACAGCTTCAAGATTTTTCTGAGATGAAGCAGTAAAAAGATGTTTGAATAAAGACTCATAAATACTGAAAGACCACTAAATATGACTATTTAAAAGAATACATGTATTGTTCTCTGCTATAAAACATTTGATGAGAACCAGTGGGAGTAGACCACACAGCTCTTTATAAAGGTAGCGGCCCCTGACTGATTCTGGCTGGTCCTGAAAAACCTAAGCAGAGTTGGACTTCATTCATCCTTAGATGGGAGACCACCAGAAAATCCTGGGACTAGTTTGGAAAGACAATATAGTCCCAGAAGGTGGCAGTGAGATACTGTTTCTGAGCAAACTACTGTATTTTTTGGACTATAAGATGCATCTAAATTTAGAAGAGAAAATCAACAAAAAAAGTTTTTGGCCTCCGCACGCCCCATTTTCAGCTCTTTTTTCTGCTCATTTTCTAGGCTTTTCCCCCGCCAATTTTCAAGGCTTTTTTCAGCCTGTTTTCAAGGATTTTTTCAGGCCGTTTTTCCCCAAAAATTTGGCCAAAAAAACCCTCGAAAATGGGCCAAAAACCCCTCGAAAATGGGCCGAAAAGCCTCAAAAACGGGCCGAAAAGCCTCAAAAATGGGTCATAAAAAGCCTCAAAAATGGGCTGAAAAAAGCCCCGAAAAAGGGCCGGAAAAAGGGCATGCAGAAGGAAAAAAAAAAGCGGTTGGCAGGTGGGTGGGGGTTCGGCAATATTCGGTCTATAAGATGCACAGACATTTCCACCCCCTTTTGGTGTGTGTCTTATAGTCTGAAAAATATGGTATGTATCCTATCCTGACATGTTAACATATCACCAAGAATGGTGCTCTATTCAAGAACAGGCAGAAGCATCCTCCTTCAGATGGGAGCTAAGACATGTATGAACTGAAGGATAGAAGAGCTGAGCACTGCAAAGAAAACTCAAGGAATGCGCCAAACCAAAGACTATTTGGCACATATCTATTAAAAAATAGAAATGGGTCTATCCATCTTTCCTATTGTCAAATGATAGATGAGGTCAATTCTTCTCAATCCAGTGCACTCCAGATATTTTAGAATTGCTGCTCCAATAATCTCCAGCCAGCATGACTATAGTTCCCCAAAGCGCCAAATTAGGGAAACCCCAACTAGCCACTGTCAAGAATATTTGCCAATTCACTCAGACAGCCATGAGCCAATATCTGTTCTTTCTTTCTTATGTGTAATGGGCATGCAAATATATAGGTTTCTCCTCCAACTGTGCAGGACCAAGATTAAGTAGCAGGAGGCTAGGAATAAATTAACTTTGATATAATTTTATAATAAGGGACGCAGTGGCTCAGCAGTTCGAATCCCTAGTGCTGTGTAACGGGATGAGCTCCCGTTACTGGTCCCAGCTTCTGCCAACCTAGCAGTTCAAAAGCACGTAAAAAATGCAAGTAGAAAAATAGGAACCACCTTTGGTGGGAAGATAACAGCATTTTGTGCGCCTTTGGCGTTTAGTCATGCCGGCCACATGACCAAGGAGACATTTTCAGACAGCGCTGGCTCTTTGGCTTTGAAATGGAGATGAGCACCGCCCCCTAGAGTCGGGAACGACTAGCACATATGTATAAGGGGAACCTTTACCTTTTTAATTTTACAATAAATCAAAGAAATATAGTTCACATGATTATCCCCGTACAGTTAATACATTTCCTACCATATTAAAACTTGCACTTGGACACTAACATGTTTTGGAGCGATGCCTGGAGGCAACTGAGGTAATTCGTTGCGGTAAAGGGAACTATAGAACCTAACATCTGTACATCCCGCAATAATCTACCTTTCTATGACTCACCATTAATGTCAACTTGCGCAACATGGAACACGATTTAAAATTTGTTATCAATTAGATATAATCCCCCTGCCCCGGCCCTATTACTAAAGGATGGGGAACATCATGAAACAAAGACATGTCTTCTCTTTTCTTTAAGCCAGGCACCTTGTGCAGTCAAGAGGGTTGACGCAATCACATAATTCTGAGATACTTCTAGGCTGCTCAAAGGCGGATATGTTCTAGCTTTGCTAGAGGAAGGGGGTTCGAGTGGACAGCCATAGGGATTAGAAAGCTATCAGCCACTTACCTACAAGGGCTCGGTCTATAACGCGGATGGCAATGGTCATGAGAGTCCAGCATTTGGAACAGATCTCTGCAGAGCTGAAGGAGACAAAATGATTCCTACTCATAAAAAGGACCTAAAGATCATGTAAACATCGTAGTCAGTAGGTAATCTTTCACTTACAACTATTCGTTTATAGTGACCATTCAAAGTTACAATGGCACTGAAAAAAGTGACTTATGATTGTTTTTCACTCTTAGGGCCATTGCAGCATCCTCATGGTCAGTGATTAAAATTCAGATGCTTGGCAACTGGTTCATATTGGTGACGGATGCAATATTCTGGGATCACGTGATCATCTTTTGACAAGCAAAGTCCATAGAGAAGCCAGATTCACTTAACAACTGTATTACTAATTTAACAACTGTAATTGTTCTGCCCCAGCTACGGACCCCAAAGAACGCAGCACACACAAACTCTATACAAAGCTTATTTTACTCAAAAAACTTAGTCTTTATCAACCAAAGGCTGTTAATAAACTATCTTAACAGCCTACCAGAATTCTAAGGTAATCACAGTCTTACTAGAGTTGGCAGAAAGCCCAGAAGCAATTTTGCAGAGAATCCAGATGCGAAGGAGAGTGAACTAAAGTTGTTCCCTACAGCTTGCTGCAAGCGGCGTTCCTCCTTAAATAGGCTAAGAGAATGGCCAATTAGCCCCAAGCCTTACTCTCAAGGAGACCTCCTCTTGAGGAGCCACTCCTGCCTTTTGGCAGCTCTGCGCGCCTGTGCATCAAGAAGAGGCTTCTCCTCTTCGTCCTCTTCACTTAAAGGAGCTTCTGGAGGTTCTGAAGGCCCTGGCTGAATCCCTGCCTCTGGCACCACATCTTCTCCAGCCTCCTCACTGTCCGACTCGAGCGCCAGCTGCACAAGCTGCTGGTGCAGCACACCAGCCTCCTTGTTGTTGGAATCAGCTATAATCTGCACAGGCCACTGACGGGCCACAACAGTAATGATGGACTTAACCACTGTGGCAAATGTCATAAAATTGGGCAAAACTCACTCAACGGTCTCGTTTAGCAACAGAAATTTTGGGCTCAACTGTGGTTGTAAATTGACCTGTACTATACAGTCTTGAATTCTCTTCCAGCTTGTCAACATGGCTAGTGATAAGGATGGGATTTTTAGTGCCACACTATGATTTAGGTAATTTGTGCTAATGCACTTACCAATAAGTGCACTTATTAGAACAAGCTTTATTTCCAAGCACTTGTTTGAATTGCATATGTTGACTTAATCACATTGCTTAAAAAAGAAGGCAGAAAAGCAGAATGCTTTCCCACCAATGTCTTGGACAGTGTGTGGTGGAATTGTTGCCTTGAGATTTAAAAAATAAATACAGCTAAACGAAGCTGGGAATGAGAACTCTTTGTTCAGAATGGGAAGATCTAGTTTCTCAGAGGCAACTGGCAATACAGGCAGTTGTTTTTATTATCTTGTCCCCTGGCAATCTTCCTTGCCTGTTGACATACAATGATAATATATCATAACGTTTGGAATTGAGTACAACAACCCCTTGTATGTTTGCGTGAAAATAAGGTCCATTGTGTTCAGTGTGGTTTACTTTTGAGAAATACCGTATTTTTCGGAGTATAAAACGCACCTTCCCCCCTCCCCCCCAAAAGGTGGTGAAAATTTAGGTGCATCTTATACACCGAATGTAGCCTCGCCCACCCACTGTCTCCCACCCTTTGGCCTCTGCCTCGCAGCAGATACCTCCTTGCAAGCAAACAGCAAGAAAAAATAGCTCCTTTCAGCTTCAGCACAGCCTCATTAGCACAAGTTGATTGGATTGGCTTCCCGACTCTCAGCTGATTTGCTCTCAGCTGTTTTGTGCAGGGCTCTGCTGCTTGCTGCAAAGAGGTAAATTGCTGGAGCAGATTTTTTTCCCCCTTGTGCTATGCTGAAAACAAAAATGAAATTAAAGCAGGCTGTTTGCTGTAACGAGGCAAAATTGGGCAGAGGGAGATTTCTTTTTCTTCTTTTCCTCACCAAAAAAGGTAGGTGCGTCTTATACTCTGGTGCATCTTATACTCCGAAAAATACGGTATTTATAATACTGCTGCCCAAGGGATTTCATTATTCAGAAAACCGATCTTTTTGTAGCTAGAGGAATAGAGACTTTGCCAGGAAGGACCATCTGAACGGTCTGTAGATCCAAGTACAGTACATCATGTTCTTTCTGCATAATATTTTTCCCATTACGAATTGGCTAATGAATATCAAATAACGATCGCAGAAAGATAAAGCTACCTGCAGCATTGCCTAACATCATCATAATCCGTCAGGTCTATATCAAACACCAATTCCTTTTCCTGAGCTTGAAAAGCACCCATGTGGACGGTGTTATGATGGA